TTATTTTTATCAATATTACTATTATTATTATTATAATTATTGTTATTATTGTTGTTATTATTCCTTTTATTATTATTATTATTATTATTATTATTATTATTATTATTATTATTATTATTATTATTATTATATTATTATTATTATCATTATTATTATCATTATTATTATTATTATTATTATTATTATTATCATTATTATCATTATTATTATTATTATTATCATTATCATTATTTATTATTATTATTATTATTATTATTTATTATATTATATTATTATTATTATTATCATTATTATTATTATTATTATTATTATTATTATTATTATTATTATTATTATTATTATTATTATTATTATTATTATTATTATTATTATTATTATTATATTATTATTTATTATCATTATTATTATTATTATTATCATTATATCATCATTGTTACTACTATTATAATTATTGTTATTATTATCATTGTTTTTATTATAATCATTGTTATTATGATTATCATTGTTATCATTATTATTATCACCATTATTATTTTCATTATCTTTCTCCTCCTCCTCCTCCTCATCATCAATATAATCATTATTGTTCAAAGCATTATCAATGATACTATTATCTTTACCATTAGTGTTGTAGTTGTCGCTAATAACGATGATAATGCTGTTATTAATATCATAATTACTACTATCATCATATTATTATTATTGTTAATATCGTTATTGCTGTTATCGTTATTACTGTTATAATTATCATCATTATTATTATTATTACTATTATTATTATCATTATTATTATTATTATTATTATTATCATTATTATTATTATTATTATCATTATAACCATTATCATCATCTTCATCCTCACTATTATTATCTTTATAATTGCTATTATCTTTGTCATCATTATCATAACTCTCATTAGTATTGATATTGTTATTGTTGTTATCATTGCTACAACCACTATTACTGCAATTAGAACTACTATCATTTATAATCGTCATTACCACCATTACCACATCATCATGATCATCATTCTTATCATAATTGTTATCATCATCATCAATGTTATTTTTTTTTATTATTTGCAATATTTGTAGCTTCGATATTATTATCATTATCAATAGATACGTATTATTTATCATCTTTTGATAGTGGTTATTATTATCATTCTTATTCTGGTCCTATCACTATTACCAACGTGATTTTTTTACTATTATTCTCTTTAACACTCTTATCACCTTTACTATCATTTCTGTCTATGAAATTATGATAATTAAAGTATCTATTATCTGCTTAATTCTCAACGATTTAAATATCTCACTGGTTTCGAATAGATTCCCTTGCATTATGATATGTAGTTGTTGCACGTTGATACGTATTTTGGGGGGACGGGGGTGAGGGGGGGAGAAGGATGTTTGTGGTTTTGATTGATTAATCAGTTACCTAATTGGCTAATTAAAAATTGCATTACTCTTTGTGCTGTGATATGTTGTTGCCTTTTGTGTGTTCTCTTTCATTTTTTGTGGGTCTTTTTATAAGCATATCATCTGTATTTCGTATTCATCTGTTTACTCTAATTCCGTACTGCTCAGTATATTCCCATACTTACTAAATTTTACTTGATTTTGACGTAGGTTATCATGGTTCCTATCACCCCCCCCCCCCCCGCACACACACCTCCCCTTATCAAAACAGATTTTGATCACATTTACGATACTCGTTGGCAAGGCGAAATATCCTCACTGACGGGCCCAATCGCCAATACTGCCATGATGAAATATCCTCACTGAAGGGCCCTGATGTCCATAATGTTGCGATAAAACGAGGAATTAATGCATATTATTTTGGGTAATATGGTGCAAAACTCTTTTTTTTTTTTTTAATATGATTTTCCACTCATTTCTATTCATTTACGGAGATATATGCCAGGTAGCGTGATTGCTGAATTGGTATCATTTATTTGTGTGATAATAAGTAGGGTTATGACATTGGCTCTAAGTACCATGATAACACTAATAATTAAATGTTGACAGGAGTAAAAGCAGAGTACTGTGTAAAATAACTATATAAAATGAATCAGTAAATAGATAAATAGGTAACGATATAAACTGATAAAGATTAAGACATCCAGATTGTCCATATATTTCTAGAATTATTTTTAGTGAATTTAGGAACAAATGAAACTAATAATAATTTGTATTTGTTTTTCAAATATTTTCTAAATGAGTGACTGATGGGGCTCATAAGTCCGGTATAATCATACTATTGATAATGGTTAATGATAAGAAAGATTTATAGATCTTTATTTTACCTTTATTCGCCTATAATTTTATCAATTTCTTTGTTATTTGTTCCCCCCCCCCCCCCTCTCTCCTCTCTCTCTCTCTCTCTCTCTCTCTCTCTCTCTCTCTCTCTCTCTCTCTCTCTCTCTCTCTCTCTCTCTCTCTCTCTCATATATATATATATATATATATATATATATATTATATATATATATATCTATATATTATATATATATATATATCTATGTTTGTCTCTCTATCTATCTTTATATATCTATTCTCTCTCTATCTCTCTCTCTGTCACTCTCTCTTCTCTCTCTCTCTAATGATAATGGTAATGATAGTAATGAGAAATCTCAGTAAGACTAATAGTTTTCGGAAACTGAACACACACAATATTAATATATGATAATGAATATCATTATTGTTATTATTACAAGTAATACTATTATTGTTATTATTATTATTATTTCAATTAGTATTATTATTACTATCATTTTATTATCATCATCATTATTATCTTCATTATCATTATTATTATGATTTTTAGTATTATTATGATTTTTATTCATTATTGTCATAACTTTTTTGTTATCATCATGATTATTATTACTACCATCATTAATATTATCATTAATTTTGTTATTATGCTTCATGATTGTTATTATTATCAATATTATTATTATTATTATTATCATTATTATTATTGTTGTTGTTGTTGTTTTTGTTGTTGTTATCATTATCATCATCATCATTACTATCATCATTGTTTTATTATGACTATTATTATTTCTATTACCATTATTTTTATTATTCTTGTTATCATCATCAACATTATTGATTTTATTATTATTATTTCTATTATCATTATCATCATTATCACTTCTGTTTTCACTATCATTATTATCATTATCATTATCATTATTATTGTTATTATTATTATTATTATTATTATTATTATTATTATTATTATTAATTATATTATTATTATATATTATTATTATTATTATTATTATTATTAATTATATAATTATATTATATTATTATTATTATCATTATTATTACTATCATTAGTACTATCATTACTATTATTATTAGCATCACTGCTAGAACTACTACCACAGTGGAACTACTTCTGTTATCAATATTGGTACTATTACTATTATCATTATTATTATTCCTCTTTTTAATATTGTTATTATTGTCATAATCATTATCAATATTACTATAATCATTATTATCACTGATATTATTATCATTATTATCACTGATATTATTATCATTA